GTTTCATGCAATTGTAGATGTTTGTTAAGAAAAAATAAACGTTCTATTTTTCACAGAACTATTAGAATTATTATTGTGTAAAGAATTTCAGTTTGCTTGTTTTAAAGGTCAAATTTGAATCTAATCAATTTGTTTTGGTTGTTTCACTGAAAGAATGTCTTGTTACTGTCTGTAATGACCTATTTTCAGTGTAGTCAGTAAAAGGCGATTGAAGATATGGCCGGAATTCTAATTTAGAATCTGTATACGTGCAGGAGAAGCTACCTTGTCTGTTCGCCTTCAAATGTATATTTATCAGCTGTTATAGAATAAGGTAGACAGAGCGTTAAGGAAGCGATTTCTTCCAACTAGGATACAAGACAATGTCGTTGTATGGTTCTTCAAAAATGAGAGGAAAGTAATTAGAAGTCCGATTTTTGAACATTTAAACGATTCCAATCACTTCCCACTAATCAACAGGTTGATTTTAAGGCTGTTTATACAATCTGCTTGGATTTCTTCGCATTTAAGTGCTTAAAACAGAACAGAATCTCTTGCCGTTCCATAATCTTTATAAGCATACACGATTGTATAGTTCTGCAATGGATTTGTTGAAAAGAGACCCTTTTCACTGAACATTCTGTTTGGAATTTAAATTTGTTAGTCGAATGTATCATCTATGTCGTTGTATCAGCGTTAAGATTGAAAATTAAATATTAAAGATTCCCATTGTGAAAATTAGAACAACACAGATATATAAGCGAACAATGTTGTTATTTTCGATTAGATTCGAAAGAAGCCATTATTTATTAAGTAAACAATTCAATGGACATGTGGCCTGCGATACTCTGCAGGACAGATTAATGAGAGCGATTAGTAGAACATTCAATGCAGCCAAACTTGCGTTGATCTTCTCAAGTCAACCAGAAATGTCTACCCAAACGAAGGATAAGTTATCTGAGTTGGCCTCCTGTGTGTGCATTTACAAATTCAGCTGCTCCTGTGGTGGAGATAGCTATATCGGGCGTACTTCCAGGCAACTCACACAATGAATGAGTAAACATTCCCAGAATGGTTTAAGAAGGGTCAGTCAAAAACAATACGCAGTTCTATCTTTGCACACCTGGTAGATAGTGGTCACATTGTAGATTAATCTAGATCTTTTCGGGTGATCTATTGTATACCTCCATCATTTCCCGACGGAGTTCGATCCCGTCTCCTACACACATAACAGAAGCCATAGGAATACGTTCATTCAACGGCAATTTATGTGTTTAGAAGAAATTTGTGACACCCCTATCTCTTCCATGGCCCGATATGAGGTAACTAACGATTGACATTATTTTTTTACTTATTATTTTTAACACATTTGTTTATTACGTAATGATTTTGATGCTTTTTATGTTTATTTGAAGTCTATTCATCCCCCTTTGACGTACTATTGATAAAACTTTAGTTATTATATTTTATAATTATCTTCCTACTACTATCAGTACACCTGTCTTCCTACTATCCACTGGTACTTCTGCCTGTAATATATGTAGTGACGTAATCTCTATTTCATTTCATTGTGATGATTGACTCACAAATTGCCTTGATTGGTTTCACATTTTCATACATAAATATTCATGTTTATTAGAGTAAAGCAGCCTGATGACGATCTAATCGAAAATATCAACATTATTGTTCGCTTGTATGAAAATTAAATCAAATTTTTATCACCTTCTCAAATCGTAATGTGATAAAATGAACGAATTGTTTAAACTTACTATTATGAATTGTTTTTATGGTATTCGTAGTGGGCATTTCATTGAAAGTTTTAATTATTTCTACCGGATAGAAAGTTGTTATATTACATCCTAAAAAAAAAGTGATACACAATAGATTTTTTTTCAAAAAGGAAAAAAAACTTTCAATAATCAAAATTTTTTGTCTGTGAGCTTGCTGATTTGGTTGTGAAACTGTCATCATTAATCTTATGAGCAACACGACGATTAACACAAACTTCAAGTTGAAGAACAGTAACGTATTTTCAATTGGACAACAAAAGGAACAGCAGTTGGATCACCAATATCAGGACTCAGCGTGGACAGTGTGATACAGATTGTAGGAGCGTTGATTTTTTTTACCAATCAGTGATCAAGCCAAAAATTTGGGTTCTCTAAGCAGACAAGACAGTTGTCATTATTAAACCGAACGAGCTGGAGCAAATCTACTGTTGGATCAACACCGTATTGGATGGAAAATCAATCAAACAAAAGTCCATCATTCCTGGATGTATTAATCACCAGGACTGACACAGGGAAATTGGACACCCGAGTATTCCGGAAGACAATCTACACAGAGCTAATCCTCAACTATAGCAGCATTAATCCAATAACTCACAAAATCAACTATGTACAAATGTTGTTCAAAAGAGCAGAAACACACTGCAGCATACATGAAGCATGCAAAAAACGAAGAAAAATATCTAATGACCATCTTCCCAAAGGAACGTCTATCTACACAACTTTATCAAGAAGTTTCAACTAAAATCTTTAGTAGAAACGATATCAATGGAAAACCAAATATCATCTACAAAATAAACAACTGCTCAGATTGTGAAAAACACTACATAGGACAAAAAGGGACGGCCTCTTCAGTTTCGTTAACGTGAACACCAAATAGCAGTCAAACTCCACGACAGCTCTTCGCTTATATCAATACACACCGACAATTATGGGCATACATTCCATTGGAAAAATGTTGAAATGCTGGATACGGGGAGGACAAACAACACTGGAGAATTTTTAGAAGCTTGTCACTCAGGTCAATCAGTAATTACTGAACACATTGATATTGATCCAATTTATCAACTAATCAGAAAAATCATAGGTGACATAGGATCAATAAACAGATCATCGGGGTAATACAATCAAAACAAAGGTGCAAACAACGACAGGGTTAAGGCCAATCACAACCAATCAAGAACTCGGTTAACAGGACAAGCTATGGGTCAAAGTTTGTGCTGATGATATTGTTCAGAAGAAGAACGATGAAGGCTCCACAACCAAAACATCCAGCTAACAGAACGAAACACCACCACAATCATCCATCTGAGCTACGAATTTTCTCCACCATCTCAAAACACACCTTGTAGTGAAAACTCATCCAGAGACAAATGACCAATTATTGAATTCAAATGATATTTAAAAACTAAGTAATAGAACATTGGTTAGCAATTAGCTTAGCAATTTATACATCCGAATACTTGATGCTAATAATTTTAATCCTGTATGGATGATTCTAACTAGTGTGCCATTCATCAGAACTGCACATTCATGAACCATGAACCTTAGGTCTCGCTCGCAGACGCGTAGATTTTAGACCAGTGAGCAAGCATCCACTACAGGAATTGTTTGATATCAATCACTCCAAAGCATTGTGCCACCTTAACCTCTGTATTCAGCAGGCACTGCTTCACAGCCATTAGGTTACATTTGGTGAATATTTGAAAGTAGCAAGCATAAATAAGCATATATATATATATATATTTGGCTAGATAAGGTATCAGAAAAATTGATCTGATCAATTTAACAGTTCAACTCACCACAGTGAATTATCAATTTCTTATAAGATCGAATTACCATGTCCATTTCTGTAAATTCACATCCTTTTCTTAAACCTACAACACCTAATTTAGAAAATACATGTCAAACATAGAAGTTATGTTATGTTATTCAACAATTTAACTAATTATAACAAATTCATAAACCATGAAAATATACAAACATTGAAACTTGAAATTACTGAGAAACACCGTCCAGTACTTTTTGAATCACATTTACCCAACTTTTAGAGTAACATCAAATAGAATGAGGATGAACTGCACATTGTCACATCATCTAGAAGAACTGTATTTTAGTCAGTAGAAATATCAGTCATGCACTTAATTGTACAAAGTTTACAATGATAAATTTTATGCTGGAGTTGATTTCAGGTTTGACTGTTTGTTATGTTGTGACTGCAACACATTTGACACATTCCAGTAACAGAATGGAATGATATTTCTGTTATTGAAAACTCTTGATTGTTCATGTCTGTGTTTACAATAAACTCTTAGTGAGTAGTGTAAATAGTAGAAGCTTTGATGTGCGATGTCCTAAATCAATCCCTACTTCATTCTGATTGATTCCCGAGGAAGAAGTCAAAATGACAAAGGAAAATGGAGTTTATCCTTTGTCATCAAATGAATCGGATCGATGTTAAGCTTTTGAAAGCTAACATGCGTGTATTTATACAACAATTTAGAAATAATTAGTTGAAAGGATTGAAACAGTGTAATGAGACTGATAAATGAAAATGTTTTCTCTTTTGACATGAAGCATCAATTACAGATTCACATTTCAATCTATAGAAAATTCGAAATGAATTCCTTCGTACTAATAAGTATCGTATTGCTCACTAGTGAATAACTGGAATATATAAAAACTGTTGAAGTTACAGTAGGAATCTGTGAATAATGGAGTTGAACTGGGTCAGATGTGAGAGCATTACATACTGCAGGTGTGGTGCTGTGGTGCGAACTACTTATAAGTAGTATATAACGTGAGTGTCAACGTAAAGTCTGGCAGCAGCAGAAGATGGGGGAAGATCAAGAAAGGAAGAGTTAGAAAACAATGGAATTTGTATGAAACGCATGAATAGTGACAATGGATTGATGTTTGGCAACAGGAACAGTCCAGTTCCATAGGATGAACTGATCTTTTGCAAATGAACGATTTACGATATGGTTTTCCGATTTTACTGAGTAACTCTGTAATTTTCGTTAAATACAATTCGGTTTCCCCCACCTGTGTTCTTATTCACTACACAGGAAATAAGAGATAATCGTCCAATATTCTGATCTATTTGAAGTTAGACACATACATCAATCATTACTGATTCAATAGTTTAGAAGTGAAGATTTTCGACGAGGATAAATGTGTTTGTGTCTTCACATCTGCATCAGATCCACCTTGCTAATCAATGCTGATAACCAGGAATGTAAAGGTTTCAGAATTTCGAAAGCTTCTACGCCATTTATGATTTGATCGGTGCATGTTGTACTGTTTTGAACGATCTTACTTTTCGCTTTGTATATGTTGGAACCTATTGCTGTTCGAGGATGCTGCTACACTGGTCTTCGTATCCTAACTTGGTTATAGCGTTTGCAGTGGAACGGCCACGTGGTCCAGCTGCATCCGCGCTTCCCTCGACATGTTAACATCTTCAGGATCCAGTTAACTAACAGGAAAAATACCAATCAAACATCTCACTTCCTCCGAATATAACTGGATAAATATACTGAGTTTTATGTAAATATAATTGAGTAAATGCAATCAAATGAACACATGAAACATTTAACAAAACAATCCATTATGTCATCTTTATTTGAATAAACTGTTTGAAAAATTGCGACATTTTCAAAATTCAATTTACTCACTTACCACTAGGAAATATTTCAACATAATCCATATCTAATCCTTCATACCATATTTTAAAAATAGGTTTCACAATCTGAACAATAAAAAAATCATTCATTATGATTGTTGTTTTCTTACTAAAGTTTGATATTCACCGAGGGTCACTGTGGCCGCTTTGTCCATTGACACCGGAGACACTTCATCATATTTGATAGATTCTGAATATTGATAAACATAAATCTAGTTGTACAGATGATTAGAATAAAATGAATTTTACATCTTACATCTTTTAATAATTCGATTGGGAAATTACTCTTTCCTACTTCTTCTTTTTCCCTAGTTAGATTTTGATAAACCGCTTGATGTGTTAATTGAAAATTGAACAATTGAACAATTGTTATTGTAACAATGTACCATTTCAATAAAACAACACAATTGAATTTGTTCAACATGTTAACTAATCTGTACAATGTGTAAAACAAAGATTCACTGAATGACAAAAACACATTAAAACCATTAAAAAACAAATGTTCACACATACTCTGTTTGTTATGTTCAATGGTTAACAGAATGCATAATAATAAATACACTTATTGAATATTGATAATGATAGTTTTCAGAGTTTTATTATTATGATGAACCAATGAAAGTTAACATTGTTGAAGAAAAAATCTCATTTAACAGAACACAATTATGACAATTTTGTTTAGAATATTTAGAAGAAAAGAATTTTTTTCAGTTTGTTTTGTTAAACTAATTTACTACAAAAATAATCAAGTGAAAAAATAAGGTTCAATTCAATTAATCAATATGACTTGAAAATTAGGCTTGTTTATGTAGATTTTTGTAGAAAAAAAAATACAAGGTGTTGAAGGTTGCCAATGTCATCGTAATAGTGAATATGATAATTATACTGTTTACATTTTTTAGAAAATTTATTAACAACAAATTCTGCTCAATGTCGTGTGTGTTTGAAGCCATTCACATTTTTGATTGGTTACAATATTTAGAAATCATTAGTAAAGTAAACATTCTTACTTACCTACTTCGTATTTACTTGTGCTTCTCCCTCAAGGGAGCGTAGGCCAACTAACAGCATTCTCCAACATACTCTGTCCTGGATCTTCTCCAATTCTCAGCACAGTATGTTCCTTCAACTTGGAGCTATTCTAGGGTTATTAGCGGTCCCGAGCCCGGATGAAAGTGGGTAGTTTGATATAGAGTTGGTGGCTCCATCCCGTAGTATAACAACTTGATAAAAAGACGCTAACTGGAACACATATTTTGAAACAATAACAGTAAGCGAAAAATCGTTGCAACTGTGAAGACCTTAATTAATAAATCACTAATTTATGTGTTATCATAAACAGAAGACTCTTTCCATATGCTCTAGTGATAAGAACTTGTGATTTAGTTTCATTTTAGTCAGAAAAATCTATTCATCATATAGAATACTGGGTTAAAATTGAACTTCTCAGTGTTATCTATTATTGATGAGTACCATAAATCCTATCAGTCTATGATGAATAGCACTTCACATAAATGTGTCGTGTACAGAATAAACGAATGCTTTGACTTCAACCGAAAGTTTATTAGGCAAGTAAACGTGTCGATGAATACCTCTCTTCACTTAATTTCAATGTAACATGACTTATCTCTACTCTAGATTAAACATTTCTATGAAGATCAAGTTGATTAATGTCTACAACACTGTGATGAAATTTAATAATGTTTATTTTCAAAATTTATACTTACCACTATTCCCATAGTAAAATATCAGTTAACCAGTAATTAAATATCCGCTAAAGTAATGTTAGATGTTATGCATACTTTCATCGGATCGTTTTAAATAAATATGCATTACGGGGTTGTGAAGATTGTTAAGTTACACATTTTTGAAACCATCAATCGATCAATCCTAGAAAACAATTAGAAACCTGGAAGCACTGGACAGTCGTTTCGTCCTGGTATGGAACTCATCAGTCGAAGTGTGCATCCACGACTCCTGCACCTCACAGGATTCGAACCCTGGACTTTCGGTATTGTGCGCAAACACCTAACCTTTGAACCACTGGGCCGGCATCCGACGGTGTTGAAACTGCTCTTTTTACATCTTTTTCTCTGCACATTTTTAGTTGATGACAGAGAAATCAATCGACAATATTCGTCAGATTTTCCACGTTCGTTTCAAAATATGATATCAAAACAGTGCAGTTGAAAATATTGAATCTAGTTGATAAATGATTGATATGTTGGAAGATTTCAAAGCAACTACTTGTCTGCCTAATTACTTACTTATTTACTTACCTACGGCAGTTACCTCTAATGGAGCATGGTTAATCGACGAACATTCTCCAAGCTACTTTGTCTTGAGTCTTTCTTTCCAGTTCTACACAAACAATATTCATTCTTTTCACGTCTGTCGACTTCACACCGTAGGAAACCAACTTGTTAAATGGACGGTAACCGAAACAAACAGGTTTTAACAATAACAGTAAGTGAAAATTTGTTACAAGTATGAAGACCTTGATTAATAGATCACTAATATATTTTTCAACGTAAACAAAAAACCTACTGACATGCGCTAGTGATGAGAAGTTGTGATTTCGTTTCATTTTATACAGACCTGAGTTTGGGATCGTGAATGGACATTTCTGATGACTTTCATACTGAATAAACGCGTCCATCCAGCGCTTTCAGGTTTCAAATGATTGTCCAACAAGGATCGATCCATGATTTCAATGAAAAAAAATTGTAATTAGGATTCTAACTGAGACAACTTTCGTAATCATGAGAATACGTCACAGTAAAAAAATGAAGAAGAGAAGATAGTGTGTGAACAGTTATCTAAATAGACTGGATGTCATATTGAAGCCTGAAATGTAAGCACGTATTAAGTTGGTGGTATTTGTCGATAAACCAGTCTTGGAATGCCTCCGAAATGTGTCCATTTGCATTATGTTTATGTGATAGTCTTTAGAATTGTTGTAATTTTGAAGCAGATATGATTTGACTACTGAAATCTCATTTTAGTAGACGTCATATTTGCAAGTAAATGTTATTTGATTTCAATGTGTTCATTGAATCGTTGAATTAAATATGATGCTTATTCACATAACAAAGAACTAATAAAAAGTTCTATATACATTGAAAATCTATCTGAAACAATCAAATAACACTTATTCACATTAGGGTTCCAACAACTGGTAAACGTAATCTAATTCATTCCCTATGATCTATAGATAACGTACTCTGACAGTATCACAGAGCACTTCTTAGTCAGTAACTCATACAGAAGCTCGCCTACGTTAGAAATCTTACCCTATCTAAACGATCTCAAGCCAGTAACTGTTCGAAATTTGAATACTAAAACCAAATACGAGTTTGGAATCGGACTTTATTAAATCACATATGTAATTCAAACTGGTCTCCTTCAACATTCTCAGAATAATGCAGGTCCGAATATAGATATGGTTGTCTATGTCTATGGAGAGTCTGATCATTGATGTCTGTGGTCTATTCGAACTCTGATTTGTGACTATAGTGACGTACTATGAAATCTTGTTTCGCATGTGTTCATTTGGAGACCCTGCGGTATCTTGGTCTTTTCTAGCTGGCGTTGTTGTTGTGACGTATTCTAGAGATGAGGCAGCACAAATTGATGGAACACTCAATAACAGGCAACTATATGTTATCAGATCAGAATGCTGGATCAAGTTGAAAATAAATCAATCCAAGAAACGATTATTCTTCGTTATCTCGGACTCCACCCTGACAGATTGCAGCCTGGATACAATCAAGGATGAGTTCTACCACCAGTTAACTGATCTTCTCCAGAAAGCGCGTTCGACGGGTATCGCAATTCCTGCCGACTATGAGAATGAGCATATTAGGAACCTAGGTATAGAGGAGAGTTGTCTGTATGGCTAACGAGAACTTGTTAGTTGCTGAGCAGATAATTGTGATAGTCCGCTGCAACTCTGCACAGAATACGAATTGATTCTGACAGGTACTGAGTATCGACACAGTCATCGCCATGGTGCTACCTAGTGTCCTCTCTGAATTACAAGTCTGGACTCAGACTGACCATATCACGATCAACTACGGCTGTTCTGGTTGTGTACATCGATGTTGCTTCTTTTAAAGTATTTATATAAACTCTGGCTAAACACTTGTCTACTTTAGTCGTATATTATGTATCAGTGGTCGACCGATTCACCATGTTAAACGGATTTGTATCAGTAAATTGGTTGTAGCTTCTGTTCAAGATTAATTATCGACCCACTGAAAAGTATGAATGAGCACTGGCTGTAAATGCGGGATGCCACAAAATGAAGAATGAAGTCACTTGAGGATTCTCCCACCTTTAGGCATTGGGTTTCTGCAGACTACGTACAAGTCGGTGAAGCACATCACTCTACTATGAGTAACTGTGAAATTGACGATAGAAGAAGAATTCCATGTAATCAAATGGTGCAGAGTGTGCGAATGGACTAAGAAACCTAGTGCTCAAAGTTGGCTGATGAGTTGGAAGTAGCAATTGCTTTCGGTAACTTCAAGAAGTTCTTTCAATTTATCCGTGTCACTAGCGGCAAGAAGTTTTTGTATCAGTGAAACAATCCGTGGTGATGATCAAAAACCAACCGATAACATCCACCCATGTCTTGTACAATGGATAGATATTTTGTAGGAAACGTTGAGCTTATCTCCTTTCACATAGACGTCGATTAAAACAATCTTGACTTCCATTGGCAAAGAAAACTGATCTATCTGTTTTCATGAATACAATTCATATACTTGTGCATAATAACTATTATGCATCTATTACGATTAAGATCATTTTTCATAGGTTGTTCAACTATTCATTTTATTGCTGATTACAACCAATTTGTTTCAAACAATCAAATCAACAAATATGATTGATGAAAACACCATCTTGTCAAATGAGTCGATAGAAGGTGGTGAATTTTCATTGGTAAGTAATAGAATGAAGAAAATAAAACGAAACAGATCTGGACTATGATATTCAAGTATAAGATAATTAATTTTGAAATTCTTATTCATCATAATGAATAAAATTTACATTGAGTAAGTGTTGTCTAATTTTGAAAAGAAACAACATTTTAACTAGAGAGTTGTTTATTACTGATATCATGAATCAGTGACTGTTAGAGCACCATGAGAAACTTGTAAGCACTGGATGGCTGTTTTGGTCCTGGAGTGGTATTCATCGACACAGAGCATCCACGACTCCTGCCACTCACGGGATTCGGACTCGGGACATTTGATCTTGTTCACGAAAGCTTATCCTCTGAACCACCGAGCCAGAATCCGGAAGAGGTACTGTCTATCTTTGGTCAATTTAGAATTTTGCTCAACCTCACCTATTTGAGTTCGGCAGTTACAACCTAAACGCGACAGGGTTGGAATCCACTGGTCACGTCTTATCTCT